TTAAACTTTTTGCTTCTCTGGTTAGAGAAAAAGACTTTTATATAATTTAGTAATTTATGGGCTCCACTTTTGGTGTAGGTAGGTCCTATTATATCAGTCAATATCAATTTGTATCATGTATATTATATTGTATGTTTACATCTAAAATAAGGATAAAAATTCAACATATTTTTTTTTTAAAATCAAATATATTAAAGTTGATGCAAAATATTTGATGGTGGAGTAAATGGCACGTAATTAGATGCAAGAGCAGTTAAAATAGAACAAGTCCACCTTTCTATACTAATTTTTGTTCCTATTTTATATTTCGATATTTGTCAACTATTAACTTTGCATATTTCTTAAAAAGCTAAAAATAGAAGGATATTTTACTATATCATCCTTTGAAAATACTATTTTCGTCGATTTTTTAATTGTCATGATTTTTTTTTAGAGTTCAACTATAAGAACTTTGACTAACATTTTATAATGTTATTTTTCATCATATTGATATGCAAAAAAATGCTATTTATAATACTTTTTATATAATTTTTAAATATCTAATTTTTTTGTTTAATATCGAATTAATATACTCTAATTTAACTTTGAAATTTGTCAAATTGACTTTTGAAAAACGCAACATGACAATTAAAAGTGAATGGAGGGAGTAATAAGTACAATGTCTTGGAAAATGTAATTGAGAAGTGACTATATTAATTAATGATAAGGATAAATTAGGAACTAAGTGTAAAATTATCTATTGATTTTATAAAGTGAACAAGTATTGTTGGACATCTCAAAATAGTATAGTGGACAACTATTGTTGAACGGAAAAAATATTTGTCCACTAAGCAAAAACTTTATTATTTTTATTGAATTGTCCTTATCAAAGTCACTTTAATACTTATTTTTAATTGTTTTTTTCTCGTAATAAAGTGTTAGGGTGAAACTCAATAAGGATGAAATAAGGATGATGTCATTAAATAATTATCAAATAAGAAAATCTGATATTTCTTTTGAAATAGATTAAAAAAGAAAAGAGTGATGAGTTATGATTGAGAGAGTATGTCTCAAAATACTAGTCATTTTAAAAATTCAAGACAAATTCATTTATTTTCTATTTTTCCTTTACTAGCAAGTATTCTTTAAGACTATAAATAACTTACATCATCACACAAATAGAGTAAAATATTCAGCAAAGAGAATCATTTCTTAAACATAAAAAAAAGATAAATAGTCAAAATTTCCTCCTAGCAATTATTTTCTCAAGGACATGTAAATAAAAAAAATATGATAAGTATTTTGATATAAAGAAAATATTTGTGAAAAAATTTCGCTATCAATTAAAAATAATAATTTAAAGTAATTTTCAGACTTAGTATGTGTATCTAAATTATATACATCCTAAGCATTACCTAAAAATGTTAAAAAACTGTGAGTGAACACTAAATTCCAACTCTCATCATACAATTAATTAAACATTAAAAAATGAACAATATTTAATAGAAAAGATAAAATAAATACACAATAATAAATTATTTATTGATTTTTTAAATTTGATAAGTATTGTTGAAATTTCAATTATTCCTTAAAATAGTATAGTGAACAAGTAAGATAGATTAAGGAAGTAATTAATTAAAAGGTTATTTGAAAGAAAAGGTCATGGGAAGGATCATTTAAAAAAAAAAAAAAAAAACGAAAATAAGAGAGAGAAACATGAGGTCAGAAATTGAAACATTGAGTGATTAAGTCCTCGCCAACAAAAATAAATTTCAGATAGTCAACTAATTAAACTGTCCTTATTTTTCAAAGTGAGAAGGATCAATTATCTATTGGATATTAATTGCCTTAACTTTCTTATCATAAATAGGTTTTCCTTTTAGGAAAAAGTTTTGGATTGGCTAGTCCTTTTCTTGTAGGAAAAGGTTTAAGATTCTATAAATATAAGCTTGTTCCTTCTAACTTAATTAGCATTCACAATGTAGTCCTAGGGCATTGAGAGTTTCAGTTATGGGGGAGAATTTGTGAACCTACTTGTATTCCGAGTGAATTGGTTGAGGTTATTTCTCTCTATATTTTGTACTCTCGTAATTATAGTGTATTGCTCATCTCCTTTGTGGACGTAGATCGATTGACCGAACCACGTTAAATCTTTGTGTCTTTTGATGTGTTTCTCGTTTGTCTTCTTACTCATGGTCTTTCGAGGTTTGCTTTGCTAGCTTCCGCATTACACCTGCTTTTATTTGCCCTGAGTTTCTTACCATAAATAGGTTTTCCTTTTAGTAAAAGGAAAACATAATATCTCCATATTTGGCTAGTCTTTTTCTTGTAGGAAAATGTTTAGGGCTCTATAAATAGAGACTCTTTCCTTCTAACTTAATTAGCATTCACAATGTAGTAGTCTTAAAGGCTTTGAGAGTTTTGGTTAGGGGGAGAATTTGTGGGACACAAGCTTGATACGTTATCACTTATGTGAACCTCCCATGTATTTTCAGTGAATTGGTTGAAGTTATTTCTCTCTATATTTTGTACTCTCATATTTATAGTGGATTGCTCATCTCCTTTATGGATGTAGGTCGATTGACCAAACCACATTAAATCTTTGTGTCTTTTGGTCTATTTCTCGTTTGTCTTATTACTCGTGGCCTTTTGAGGTTTGCTTTGCTAGCTTCCGTATTACACCTGCTTATTTAGGTCCTATCAAGTGGTATCAGAGTCATGGTTCAAGGATGGAACCATGTTAGAGATGAGTGTTCATCTTGGCGGGTGTAGTTCTCGCCGCAACCTTTTTGACAGTAATGAAGATCTTTGTTGGAGAAATTGTTTCAGAGAGGTTCTCTGTGTTGAGACGTAGATTTGATGGAGGAGATTATGGAGAAGAGATGCAAGATCCTAAAGATTATGTGAAGAAAGTGGACAAACTTATTTTGTCAGAAATTCAGGCCAAAGGGGAGATTTGTTGGCATTTATTTTCCCTAATTTCTTACCATAAATAAGTTTTCCTTTTAGGAAAAAGTTTTAATATTTTACTAGTCCTTTTATTGTAGAAAAAGTTTTAGGACTATATATATATATAGGCTTGTTCCTTCTAACTTAATTAGCATTCACAAATGTAGTCCTAAGGTTTTGAGAGTTTCGGTTATGGGGGAGAATTTGTGAACCTACTTGTAGTCCAAGTGAATTGATTGAGGTTATTTCTCTATATTTTGTACTCTCATAATTATAGTGGATTGCTCATCTCCTTTGTAGACGTAGATCGATTGACCGAACCACTTTTTGTGTCTTTTGGTGTGTTTCTCGTTTGTCTTCTTACTCATGATCTTTTGAGGTTTGCTTTGCTAGCTTCCGCATTACACCTACTTATTTTCGGTCCTAACATTATCTTAGAAGTCTTGATTATTTTTCCAAGTCAAAACTATCTACATTATGTCCTTGTGGATAAGATCGAATTTCACAGAAGTGATATAATTTACAAATAAAGAAACCTAATAAATACTGCAGAGTCCATCCCTTCTAATAAATATAAATGTATTTACGTGTTCTTTTCTTTCTTTTTTTTTCCAATAAAATAATAGATAACATTACGTGGATTATTTTTAGTATTATCTATTGTAAGGATATTTTTATACAATTCTTGATTATCGATATTGACATGCTAAAGCTATACAAATGTAAAATACCGACATATATATTATTAAACATCATATAAAGTTATTCAGGAATTAATAACGTAATTTATATAAAATAATACCGATTTATACAAAACTATTTTTTTTTTATCATCATTTTCAAATACACCACAAATTTTGGATGTAGTTGAAAAAGAAAAAAGGAAAAAAAGAAGAAGGACACGTGTCGTTATCTCAACGGTTGGATGATAAAGTTCCGTACTTTTTTAGTCGTTAGTCGTTTTTCCTATTTTCATTTTGAGTCGTTAGTCGTTTATTTCAACCACTAATCCTTTTTCGCGGCGACTTTTGATTTAGCGGTTCCTACGTGGCGACTTCCTATTGGTTGTCTGTTTTAAATTGTGTGCCGTCCAAATCCCGAAGTCCAATTATTACATACAAAATTATTTTTCTGTTTTCAATATTTTTAATTTAATTTTTTTTGAAGTTTTAAATTAACACAGCTAGTTGAGATAGTCAGTCAACTCATTGTTTTTTTAATTAAATAATTATTTCTTTTAGAGGTTTAATATAAGTATTCAGTTTTTGTCAAATTTTCTTTTGCTGTAAAAGGAGAGTTGATTGTGATAATAGTTTTTGCTTTCATTCTTGAGTTCATTATTTATCGAAAATAATCTTTTTATTCACAAATAAAGGAGTAATATTTGCTTATATTACATTTTTTTTCAAATCTCACTAGTAAAAATATACTGACTTTGGTATTGTAATAGTTGTTTGAAAAAACATAGAAAATAGTAAGGACAAATTAAAAAAAAATTAATTCAAGACCGTAAAAGACTACTTTATATGATAATGGATAAAAGAAAATACAATAAAGTAGAAAATAATTATTTTCATATATCTTTTTAGTTCTTTTTTTTCTCTTTATGTAAAACACATATTAACTCGCTATTAAATGAAACGACCAAAATAAAGTGGAAGGAATATAAAAGATTCATATAGTCAACTCTTGTTTTAAGTCGCGATTATAACAATCAAATAAATTTTGAAAAAAATGATAATTTGAGCTACTTCATATGATAAAATCAGATTGTCGAATCTCAAATGCCTGTCAACAATAATTCATTATCGCAAATAAATATTTTACCAAGAATCGAGGTGTACACAAGCTGACCTACTCACCATATTCATTTATTTCTCAGGAAAAAAAAAACTCCATTAGTCAAAGTTGGAAAACAAAAAATCTTTAGTTTTAACTTTTTTGACATTCTTTAGTTTCCCTTTTTATTTTATATAAAATAATAATAATTAGTATTATAGAAAAAAAGTTGATTCTTGGTGTATATGGTTGTCATAATACACGGAGACAATTTTTCTATATATACATAGAGCGGTTGCCTAAATGTCATATAGTTTTCTTCTCTCTGTAAATCACTCCGTATATTTTTAAAACTTTTGAGGTTTTATTTCTCAGCTCCCCCAAAATCTGTAAGTTCTTTGTTTCTTCATGCAAATCCCTTTATGGGGTTCTTAAATTTATGTTCTTTTTCATGTTTATAGCTATTCTGCATCTGGGGTTTGTTTAATTCTGTCAAAATCTCTATTTTCTTGAATAGATCATGTGTTTGACTTGGGGAAAATTGTAACTTTCTTGAAATTTTGTGTTAGAGTTTTGGATACTTGAGGTTAATACTGGGAAATTTTGTTACTTTCTTGAATTTTTTGTGTTGGGATTTTGGATACTTGGTGACAAGACTGGGAAAGTTTGTTACTTTCTTGAATTTTTGTGTTGGGATTGTGGATACTTGGTGTTAAGACTGGGAAAGTTTGTTACTTTCTTTTATTTTCGTGTTGGGTTTTTGGATACTTGGTGACAAGGCTGGGAAAGTTTGGGACTCTTTTGGATTTTGTGTTGAATTTTTAGATATTTGGTGAGAGGGCTTTCTGATTTTGATTATTTTTTCAGGTGAGGCTTTTTCTCTTGTTGGTTTTATTCTGTGATGGCGGTGAAGACTAATGGAGTTGTTGATGGTATTTTGCCGGAGGAATTGATGAAATTGCTCTTATCATTAGCTACAAAATGGGGGGATGGGTTGGATCTAAAGAACTTGAAAGTTCATCATTTGAGTGGTGCTATGACTAATGAGGTTTATAGGATAAGTTGGCCTACTAAGAACGAAAACATCCTGAGGAGAGTTTTGGTTCGAATGTATGGTGAAGGAGTAGATCGTTTTTTCAATAGGGATGAAGAGATTAGAACTTTTGAATGCTTGTCAAAGAAGGGTCAAGGACCTAAGCTTCTTGGTCAATTTGCAAATGGTAGAGTTGAGGAGTTCATTCATGCAAGGGTATGTCAAATTTCTGACTCGATTTGTTGATTTCTTTACTTTTATCTATTGGATATATGTGGCTTTGTAGGTTTATGTTACTATGAAGTAAATGATTTGAGTGCCATGAAATGAGATTTCTAGGAGTTTCTGTATGTTGATCAAATGATCATAACTTTACAATTTCATTGTTTGTTGTGGATATCGATAAATTGATTGGCGTATATAGAGGGTCAATGGTAGTGTGTTGAGTATAATGAACTATGTGTTTTAGACGAATCCTCTGCAGTATGGCTTTCCCTTCTAAGCCTAGGTAGCTCAATGACTTGTCTTAAGTGAAAACTATTAGATGCAGATTTTGTACAATGCATGGCTTCTGTTCTTTTGAACAGACAGCGGATCTTTGAAATAAGATTAAATCAATTTGATGCACTCCTATTGAATAAACCGAGCAGCAGGTGGTGCTCCTTGCCTTCACAATTCAGCAGAATAAAATTGTGTTGTATAGTCTTTGACCATGTCTAGTATGAAGCAAAGTTGGAGATCATCGTGATGTTTATTGATTGCTGTTTGACTTTGTTCTGTCTGTCTTATTTGCATTCTCAGACACTGTCTGCTGAAGATCTTCGTGACTCGGAGATCTCTTCTTTGATAGCTGCAAAACTGAGGGAGTTTCATAACCTTGACATGCCTGGTTCAAAGAATGTCCTTCTATGGGACCGTCTCAGGTATCAATTTACCTGCCGGAACATAGTTTGATCTTTTATAACTGAAAGTCTGATACAAATTGTTTATGCAAAATTCCAGAAAGTGGCTAAATGAGGCGAAGGGTTTGTGCTCTCCTGAACATCTAAAGGAGTTCTCTTTAGGTAATCTGGACAAGGAAATCAGCTTATTGGAGAAGGAACTGCCAACAGAGTCTCATGACATTGCATTTTGTCACAATGACATGCAGTATGGTAACATAATGATTGACGATAAAACGAAGGCTGTTACTATCATTGTAAGTGTTGTATGATATCAGTCAGAACTTTATACAGCTTCTGTGTGAAGGCGTATACTTGCTCAAACTTACAAATACTCTGATCTGTTTTCTTGAGGTGGAACCGTGTCTTCTTCGTTGAGATAATAGGCTCAGGATGTAATTACTTGTGAAAATCTTTTTTCGTGTTCTCGTGCTGTAGTTTAACTGGTGTTCTAAGATATCTGAGCAAGTTTTAAACTGCATCCTTAATCAGGAATTGGTTATATTGCTTCCTATCTTCCTTTCTGAACTTCTTGTCTTGTTGGCCTTTGATTTGATCACCGGCTTCCAATATATCAGTAATTGCACATTATTTACAATCTGATTGCATTGCAGGACTATGAGTACGGTGGTTATAATCCAATTGCTTATGACTTTGCGAACCACTTCTGTGAAATGACTGCAAATTATCATACTGATACCCCTCATATCATGCACTTCAATACTTACCCTGGTAAGTAAATATAAGTTGCAACAAGAGAACACAGAGATCATGCTTGTTTGCTACTCTGATGTTCCTACTAACCCTGACATGCGCGGTTTATTAACTCTTTTTTGAATTTTAAACTTCCAACAGATTTAGAGGAGCGACAGCGATTTGTACGTGCATATCTCAGTTCTTCAGGTAAGCTTGAAGTTTGAATATCTTTTACTGTTGTCTGCACCTCTCTGTCCAAAGCATACGGTTGATTTCTTGCACAGGATAAATATGTTCTGACCCTTCAGGACCACATAATATTTATTATTCAATTTGGATAGGCATCGAAAAATAAGATAATTGACCTTTAAGGCAGCAGAAAGATCAGTTTTATTTGGTGATGGAACCAATATGCCAAGACTTTAATTACTTTAGATATTTAGAACCTGATTCTCATTTAACTTGGAATTGAAAAATAGTAGTAGTCGTTATTTGTAGGACCCGATGTATTAATAAGTTGTCCTAATAGCCTCAACTAAAACCAAACATGTTCCCTTGTCCAATTAATATGGTCAATGATAGACAGACCTAAGATTTAAGCAGTCGTTGTGTGCCTGCTTTGTGCACCGACACAGCAGAATTATCTTATTGAGCTTGGAATCCCATTGACAAGTGCAGGTAATCAACCAAGTGATGAGGAAGTAAAGAAACTTGTTGACGAAGCAGAGAAATATACGCTTGCAAATCACTTGTTCTGGGGATTGTGGGGAGTCATCTCGGTATGCCTTTTACACACTTCCTCTCTTGATCACTACATTTCACCGCGCATTTTTCTCTTTCTGTGTTATAATTGTTGTTTCTTCTGACAGGCATACGTTAACAACATCGAGTTTGACTACATGGAGTACGCGAGGGGAAGGTTCAAGCAGTACTGGTTGAGAAAACCCGAACTCTTAGGTGCCTCAGACGACTTGTTACATGTTGATGGTTCAGCTGAACCAATTCACATTTCTCCGCAATAGCTTGATGATATAACATGTACATTAACAATGTAGAATGTAAAAGCCTTATCGATAGGCCTATGTCGTATAATGAGTGGAGCATTTAGAGTCTTCAATGTTTCATAGAATATGTTTATAGGCTATTATTGAGGTTTTAAGTATTTGATGTACTGTTTATAAGAGTGAGTGTTGCTGAACCACAAATATATTATCCAGTTTAATAAAATGAAAGTTTCTTTCTCAAGCTGTTGCTTTCATTTTCCATCTCTTTTTTTTTACCTTCATTTGTTACCAGGATTGTACTGAAGTTGGAATAGGACCTTTAAATTTGATGTGTACATGTATGAATATGGCAATGGCAGACTATACACCAAAACAACTCAATTTGTGTAAAGATAAGACAAGACAATATATGTCTAGTGTAGCAAAAATATGTTATCTGAGTAACATATGTATGTAATCTAGCAAAACACTATAGATATGGAAGGGAGTTGGGAGTGGGGCCTGGCGGTAACGGGGGTTGGGATGGTCAAAGTGTAGTGGTTGGGGGAATTGAGTGTGTGAGGAGGATACAATAAACATAGAAATTAGAATATATTATTTATAGAACTTGTTTTCCCTACTTCCGCTAAGGAAGTTGTATTAGCATTTTTAAGGAATTTATTTTTTTAAGGAAAATGTTTTCCAAAAAAATTGTCCATTCAAACATGAACGGAAAAGAAAACAATTTCCAAAAAATGTTTTCCTCCCTAGCAAAAACATTGGTCAGAATGTTTGGAAAACATTTTCTCTAGTAAAATAAATTCTTGAAAAATGAGGAAAATGACTTCTCACCTCATGACCTCACCCTCGAAGCCCCATTGCCCATTCCATTCTACCTTCATAATGTTTTGCTAGATAACATATAAATATTCTTTGAAAATTATTTTCTTGCTTACTTACCAAAAAAACAAGTAAGAAACTCACTTAATTTCACCCCACTGTCCATTCCATTCCACCTTCATAATGTTTTGCTAGATAACATATAAGTTTCCACTGCCCATTCCATTCCACATTCATAATGTTTTGCTAGATAACATATAAATATTCAAGAAATTATTTTCTTGCTTATTTACCAAAAAAACAAGTAGGAAACTCACTTAATTTCATCCCACCCTCGAAACCCAAGTTTCCGTGCCCATTCCATTTCACCGTCATAATGTTTTGCTATATAACATATAAATATTGGCTTAAGTCATCTGCGGCCCCCTAAAGTTGTCCGCATAATTCACTTTAGACACCTCAACTATGGCTAGTACCTATTAGACACTCTAATATTAAGGAATATGTACTTATTGAACACAAAATGATAAGAAAGCTTTTAAAATGTGGTGTGTGTAATTCACGCACATTGTCTTGAAAAAGTAACCAATAAGACTTTAGAATGTGGCACATGGGCCCAATCTAATGAATTTTCATTTATTTTTAATTCCAACCTTTAATAATTCAAAAAATTGATTAACAAAAAGAAAGAAAAAAAGTTTCCTCCCCCCACCCCCACAGGAACCCACCCACCTTTCTTCTTCTTCCCCTAACATCGGCACCTCCTGCGGCAACAACAAAAAAGAAAGAAAAAAGCAAATCTCTCCCCACCCATCTAATTATTTACCCTTTCTTCTTCTTCTTTATCCGTTGTCACCCACTATTTTCTATTCCTCCGAAGATATTAACTTTTGTTTTTCTTCTTATAATAAATTATGAGCTATGGAAATTAAGTCAAATACAAATAATGAAATAAATTATGAAGCATGATAGATTAATGGAGTGATTATTGTGATTTTTGAGAAAAATAAGTTGACTTGATAAATTATTTTGAAATCGATGACGAAGAGAAATCGTGAGGATTCAAATGAATTATATCAAATTTTCTGATGTTATTTTATAACTTTAATGGCTGGTGATGTTTGTTGATCGAAGTGACTAGAAATAGAGATGGACGGAAGTTGCCTTTATAACTTTGATGTCCGATTTGTTTTTTCATTCTTGCAAATTCGATTAGCACTTAGCAGATTCAGTTTTTTTTTTTTTTTTTATAAAAAGAGAAAATTAAAATGAAGAACCAAAACAGAGTTTAAAATGATTAAAATGGGGCGAAGAAGAAGACAGTTGTTGGTATAGCCTACAGGGGTGGGGGTGGGGGTGGGCTTGTTTTCTTTTTGGATATTATAAGACATCATTTTGAATAGAAGTTTATTTTTAGTTATTTTAATTAATGCAATGCCAAGTGTCATAAGAAGGAAAAAAAGTACAAGTTTATTATTAATAAAAAAAAATATAAAAAAGTGAGATGCACACTTAAGCCTATAAATATTCAAGAAATTATTTTCCTTCATACCGAAACACACCTTTTTGATAGAAAAAAGGTTGCACCAGCCGGGAATCGAACCCGGGTCTGTACCGTGGCAGGGTACTATTCTACCACTAGACCACTGGTGCTTGATGAAATAAGTACGTAACCTACTACTTACATATTAATTATCTTCAATCATAAAATACGTGTCTTCAAATTGATACTACCATCAACTTAACATGTAACTTTTAATGTGAAGATTACTCATTAGCCATTCTAGAAAATTTCTTATCATCCACTGATCAGAATTTATTGAAAATGGACATATATGTTGGCTTTACTTTTCTCTCATAAATATGTGTTTCATGCTTTGGTTTAATGTACGGTTAAATCATAAGGGGCCACAAGATTGGAATCGAATCAGAATAGGGGCGGAGTTAGAGTGTTGACCACAAATTTAATCGAATTCTGTAACTTTTAATTCAAACTTTGTATTTGTTCTAAAAATCTATTGAATATTGTACAAATTATTAGTGATTTAGAATTCAAAACTCGTGAAATTCAAATTTTAATTCTGCTTTTGAACAAAACATTCAAAATATCTCCGCACATGAAAACAACAATTTGAGAAGCTTCAAAGGGAAAATAAAAGATTTGTTTTTTACTCTATTTGCACATTGTTCAATTGAACTCAACCACCATTCAATATATAATGACTTGTTTGAGGATAAATAAGTAATTTAGAATTTGTTTACAACAGTAATATATTCAGAATTTGATATAATCTCACATGTGGAATCTGAAAAGTGTGATATGTTAAAAAAAATGCACAATCTATAATTACTGAAATCAATATTTGTGAATACTTATAATAGTCTTCTCTTACAAACTTTTGAATTCTTTTACATTGGAATTTATGCCCAATACATCTCAACTTCTAAACATTCTTACATTAGATTTAAAAAAATGAAAAATTCTTTCAATTGAATTCAAACACCTATTATTGAACTCGAAATACTTGCAACTAAAAAGTGAGTAAAAAACACTGGTGTAGTCAATCTTCCAAAAAGGGGATTTATTATGAAATTTACTTTAGTTTAAAGCACCAACCAGCAGAATAAATTCTCAAATTTTAACTCTTTGGAATAATCTTAGTTATTTTATTATATTATGTCTACATAAAAAATAAAAATAAAAAAATCCACCGGTAAAAAAATTAGTGGTAATACCTTTTGTCTTCTTTTTCAGATTATTATTTTTTCTTTTTGTAATTGTTTCTCTTCCGTGAAGATACCAATATTCAAACAAGAAGATTGATTCTTAGAATTCTATCGTAAACAACCTCTTTATTGATTTTTTTGTGGTAAAATATTGGAATATGCATGAAATATGTACCGTGGCAGGGTACTATTCTACCACTAGACCACTGGTGCCTCATGTGAAATTTTTTATCAAATATTTTATATCTAAATATCCCTATCTTTTGTTTATTGGTGTAACAATGGAAGACTTTTTTTCGTTTAACCATCACGTATCCGATATCCACTATATACTATCCAAATTTGGAAGTGCAGCGGGTTAGATACATTTAGACTCGAGATGTACATCTAATTAGAGTGAATGAATCTTATCCATCTCACCATATATTTCTTCGTGTTATCATAAGAGTCCAAGTTGATACTACAATTAGTACATGAGAATTATATTGAATAAGGTTACCAATTAGTAACTATCTATCACAAGTTTGTAAACATTTATGGAAAACTGTTAACCAATCACTAAAAATTCACAAATTTTGAAGCACTTGATTTAGATAGTGTGAGTTTTTGCACTTTTCCGACACTTTAATTAATTACTTACAAGACCTTACAAGTTACATATCAACATTTAATTTGGTTAAAAAGAAGAAAAAAAACTCTTCTTTAATATATATGTAAATTATGAGTGTTATTACTTATGAGCTAAGTTTGAAAGAAAAGCACCTCTCAACTTTTTTTTTTTTTTCTTCCAATGACTAATTGATGAATTGTTATTGCTTGCCATAAAGCTTTTGTTCGTACTATTTGTCTATTCATCATCAATAAAGGCACCAATAGAAGACCTGAGGAAAAGTTCCTTGTTTCCTTGTATTTTCTCTAAGGTTTCCTTTCACAGTGGTTAAGTTCTCACCAGCATCGCAAAAGTCGTTTGGTAGAAAGTATGAGAATAATATTAGAGTTGGTGAATTATTTTATAGAAATGTTGAGGGTATATATATATATATATATAGTTTGTCTTTTACTCATGTTTATTCACATTTTAATAGGTGAAGTATTGCTAATATCATGATATGTTATGGATTACTCCATTCGTTCCTTTTTAGTTGTTATATTATACTTTTTGAAAGTCAATTTTCAAAGTTAGATTTAATTCAATACTTTAAAGAGAAAAATGTCAAAAACAAACCTAAATCATACATTTTTTTTTGAGTTTCATACCTAAACTATTGAGAGTGTGAGTTTCATACCTAAACTATCACTTTTTAGTTTGAGAAACACACCTCTCTCTTTTATATCACTCTCATCATGGTGTGTGTAATTCACTCTCTTTTATTTTAAAAAATTATCAAATCACATTCAACATAGACAAAACGTTCAACCTTGACAAAAATTAAATAAATTATTAGTATTAGTTAAAATTAAAAATTAAAAAATTATTATCCAAAAAATAATATTTATTTTATAAAATAAAATGTAAAATATTTTTCTTACCCCACTCCATCACTTCCTCTCACCCCCCCTCCCCCCCCCCCCTAAACCCCCAACCATATTTTTGGTTTAAATTTCTTTTATAAAAGTATTTAATTTTTTTACTTCATCTCCTCCCCCTCCCCCTC